TGATTGGTAAACGTAATGTCTGGGCTAGAGATTGAGTAACAAAATTAATCTGACTACCTCCATCAATAACAGCCCGGCAAACTTGCCAGTGACCTAGAGCATCTTGAACCAACACTTGAGCGGTACCTAGCAGGGTAGAATTACTCATTGAGTTATGCTGAAACTGACAGGATAACGTTTGAGCAGGTGTAGTGTTAACAGAAGTAGTAGACGCGGGGTTGACGGTGGTTGAGGGCGATGAATGCGCAGCGGAGGTTTGAGGTAGGTCAGGATTCACATTTGGCTTAGGCAGCGGTGCGGTGACTCGGCTTGGTTCATGGAGTAGAGAGTGATGTCTGTTACTTCTGCAAACCCGACAGCTCGACTTAGAAGTGCACATGGAAATTAGGTGGGAACCGAGACATGCGAAACAACGATTGAATGAACGTACTGTAGAATAACGTTTGTGCGGGGCCAAAGCGAGGAATTGATCACATCGGTACAGTTGGTGTTCACCTTTACACATAGGACAACTGATAGCGGGGCGATAAGATGACTGGGTTGCTGTGCGGTCAGGCTGAGTTGCACTGCGTTGAGTTGAGTGAGATGAGAACAATGTTTTGCGAGTATGAGGGATTTGTGACTTGGGCAAAACTAAAGTAGATTTGTGAGATTCTTTAGTGAGTTCATAGACACAGCACTGAGCACGAAGAAATTCCATAAGGTCTTCTAAGGTAGGAAATTGCTTAGATTTAAATTCTAACTCAAATGCTTTCCTTGTACTATTGTCTAAATTACGTAGTGCAAGCTGTAGCAACATAAAATCTGACAAATCATCTACTTTTAGGCTTTTCAACGCTTGGACATTAATATGAAACACATCAAGAACTTGTCTTAAACTACTTAGACTAGGGGTCTTTACAGGTTGCTGATCTAGTATTTTATTGAGATAAAAACAAGCCAAGATACGGGGATTGGTGTAGCGTTCAACCAAAGAGTCATAAGCTAACTTATAGTTGTCTGGATCGAATGGTATGCCTTCAACAATAGACAAAGCGGGGCCTTCCAGTAAGCTCTTTAAATAACTAAACTTCTCCATTGGGGCCAAAGAAGTATTGTGAATCAAGTTATCATACAAAGCTTTAAACGAGTTAAATTGTTCCAACTGTCCACCAAACTTACTTATATCTATCTGGGGTAGTTTAGGTTTAGGCTGAACTGCGGGTGATGCTTCAACATTGACATTTGAAGGTGGATCAGAGGCAACAATCTTGTTGTAGGCAGCCATACATTTATAGTACATGTCATCAAACTGTTTAAAAGGCGCGCTAGTATCTACCCTAACGCTAACATCAGTTATTTCAAGATTGAGGTTATCCATTTCTTCGGAAAGAGATTCAAATGATGAGTACACATTAGACAAATTAGAATACCTAGCAATAAAACTATCTTTCTGTTGTGGCAATTCTTTTACAAGATCGTAACATAATTGTAACTTATAAAAATATCTTTCTCTTTTCTTAACACACTTTTCAAGACTCTTAGCAGCCATTGTGAAATGTAAACTATTAATATCTCTTTAACAAAAATAAAATAAAATAAAAATTACAACTATTATAAATGCAGTATTAATAGACAAGTAGTGGACATATCAATCATATCATTGTGAAAGTGAGTACAAGGAAATAAATTCAGTAAAATAAAATATAGAGGTAGAATGTTTCCAGTTAGATCAGCTGACTGATAAAGCGAATATTCGGTGCGGTTACGTCAGCTATTTTTGGAATGGATACAATACAATGCAGAATATTGTGGTGCGTTAGTTGACCTTGAGACATAGAAACTAGGATAACGGTCAATTTATCAGCGCATAGCTACAAGCCAAAACTTTACAAAACTATTCCTGTCTGTCTGTTCACTGTACAAGGTTATTGAACTCAAACTAAACAACAATTTATAACTAGGCCTACATAAAATTATTGCATGGTTTGTTTCATGAGGAGAGAAATTATCTGAGAATAAGTTGAGATGTTTACGTGGACTGTATTTGCGATTATTAAATTAAGGTGCATAGTACGAAATCATATCATATCCGCGGGAAGAAGGGCCAAATTGTGTACGGTCTTTAACGGAAAGCCGTACGGCGGTTTGAACAACAAAATTAATGCTGGTGCTACCGTTACCTTGTCGGATGTCTTGAAGGTGGATGATGTCCGTCTCGTCCAAGGTAGTGGGTAGTCCAGGGGATGGAAGCGGTGTAGACAGCAGCGGTGTAGACCAAGGGTGCGGGGGCAACAACAAGGGAAATGACTAGCACTGGTGAAGTTAAAAATGACTGGTATATTGGAAAAAAAACTTAAAACTGACAGAAATGAAGTTAATTGAAAGTTAATGAGATTGAGAGAGTCTATGTAAAATTATGTAGGTAGGTACGGACGTCTGCCCATGACGCCGTCGGCAATGCTAGTGAGTAGCGTTTCCAGTAGTCGGAGTGGGGACGATTCGCCGTAGATAACGTTGGGCAAGGTTAGGGTAGCACCAATCTAGGGACTTTTAATAAGTACCGAACATAGGTATAACATACGCTAAATGTGGATAGATGAGTCCGTAATATACGGCTATTAGAACGTCATTATTGGCAGTGTTCTTTAAACTACGCAGTACAAAAATTCCAGAACTCAATTTATCTGTGACCTGTTTGATATGATGTTGGAAATTTAGATTTTCATCCAGGGTCAGTCCCAGAAACTTAACTTTGTCAGTTGGGTGAACTGGTGTGTCATCTAACAGAAGACTGAAACCATTAGAGCATCTTTTTGTGATAGAAAAGTGCACAAGCTGTGTTTTTTCGGTGTTAACGGAAAGAAAATTGTTATCAAACCACTCAATTAAATTACTGGCTTCACAAAAGGTCGTAAGCTCTAAGCTCTTGATATTGCGATCTGAAATGGAGAGTGAGGTATCATCAGCAAATAGTGTGGGTGTGGCGGTCGAAGTGCATGATGGGAGGGTGTTGATAAAGAGGAGGAAAAGGGTAGGTCCTAAAACAGAGCCCTGGGGCACTCCTCTCAGAATGGTGGTCTTAACAGAGGAGTAGGGACGAATGAACCCAGTCTCGTCTACTGCCTGGATCTCTACGTACTGTGTTCTGCCACACAGGTAGGAAGCAATCCAACTTAAGGCTACTCCTCTTATTCCTACTTTACCCATTCTTTGCAGTAGTATGTTATGATTGACTGTATCAAAAGCCTTTCTCAGGTCAAAAAATATTCCTGCTGAATATTTGCAGTCATTTTAAAAATCTTGATTCATTCTATAGTTATGAGGGATTTTTAAAACTTTACTTTTGGCCCATTTTAACATTGTGCATATACAAACTAATACCATAATCTCAAAATAGTGCTCGATAAAGTTAAGTATACACTACCAGTCATTGTCGACCTATTTTCACTTGGTTATGACTGGTGAATTTTTTCGGCCGCCATCTTGGATCCGCTATTTTGAAATGTGATAAATTATTTTAAATATGAAGGGGATGTTGTGACCCATCATTTCGAACTACTTTTTTAAACTTAACTCAATGCCACAATTCATTTTTTGTTATCAAGTTTTATTTATGAAATATTGCAATATTTTTGTTATAAATGTCAATATTTCAAAATCAAAATATGAAAATGAAAAACAGATCATGGAATTGAGTTTAGCTTAAAAAAGCAGTTCGAAATGACAGGTCACAACACCCCCTTTATGTTTAAAATAATTTATCATATTTCAAAACGGCGGATCCAAGATGGCGACCGAAAAAAAATCATCAGTCATAACCAAGTGAAAATAGGTCGACAATGACTGGTAGTGTATACTTATCATTATCTAGCACTATTTTGAGATTATGGTCTTAGTTTGTACATGCACAATGTTAAAATGGGCTAAAAATAAAGTTTTAAAAAGCCGCCATAACATTAGAATGAATCAAGATTTTTAAAAACGGTTTGTGTCATTGTAATCAGGGTAAAAATCTAGTTGGAAATAATTGGTCTCAACCCCACCTTTATATTTGAAAAAAATATTTTGCATCCAATACGGCGGATCCAAGATGGCGGCCGGAAATGACCACCTTGTCAAAATGAAGTACTTACTACCCAACAATGTTTGGAAGTGGTCTGGGATTGATATTTGAAAAAATGTAGAAAAAAGTTGGGGGGGGGGGACAATTAAAACTCACCCTGTATATACCTTTGCTCTTTGCTCAGTAATGCAACCTAAGAGTAGTAGGGTAATCCATGATCAATGGTAATGATCGGGGACTGTTCTCTTTTGTACTGTATTTTGTAATGTGCTATCTTACTGTAGATGGTTTGTGATAACCGAAATGTTATTAGTCTTTCTTTATTTATATTTACGTTGTTTTGTTAATTGGTAATCATCATAGCAACCCCATCGATCTCTATTATTACTACAGCAATAATAGAGATCGATGAGCAACCCATAAGGCCAATGTTAAAAATTTTAGATTAGTTTTAATTTGTACAGACATTATCAAATTGAAATTTGTTTGTGTAAAAACATGCTCACTGTTTGTCAAAATAACCCTGGAAAGTTTGGCTTTAATATGTTCAGCCGTTATTGAGTTATCTGTTTATACATAGTTTGCATAAGTTCCGATCTCAAAGAGCTTCACTTGCTCCGCACAATAAGGCCTACCGCACACGAGAGACTTTTTGTCGGCCGACTATTTAGTCGTAGTCGGGAGTCAAAGTCGGCCCCATAGTGGTAAATCTGAGTGCGCACACGGGCCGACCGCAACAAGACAGTCGGCAGACTGTCTTCAGACTGTCGGGGAGGTTTGGTGCTGACCGATTTTCCCGCCGACTGCTCCCCGACTCAACTGTCGGGTCTTATTGATAAAGGCATGGAGATAAGTTAGAACGCGCACACTGACGACTAAAAAGTCTGCCAGTCTGAATGTTGTGTGCGCGCTACGCAGGTCGCAAACAGTCAAGTGCGTTGTTATTAAGTGCATTATGGCTTCTACAACGATAAGTGCAAGTGTTTTGCGAGATGATAAGGTAGATAAACTTATCGATGAAGTGGAGGCACGGCCCCCTCTTTATAAAAAATCTTTAAAAGAGTATTCGGACATTATATTAAAGAAAAAGTTGTGGGAAGAAGTATGTGAAGCCGTGGTGGACAACTGGGGTACACTGCAAACAAAGGAAAAGGCAAATGAAGGTAAGCTTTTATTAATAACGTGGTTTATTACCAAACTATTTACAAAGTAATTTAAATTAAATATATTATGCAAGAGAGTCCATAACTTCTTCGTGTAACGGTATGCTTTACTATGTGCTCTATTTATGATGGAAATTATAAACAACTGTTGTAATTCAAATATGTCAAAATCCGATACGTGCCCACAACTCCAAAACTTGTTAATATCAACATTAAAGTGTACAAAACGTAGTTTTTCAATGCCAGAGAACTTTGTGTAGTTTTTAGCGAATTTCCCATATAGGGAATAAGCTATTACCGTAGTACTCATGGTAAGACTTGGACGCGGGACCGATTTTTTTTTCGTTTTGATGTCCCTAGAGGCTAAAAACACCATCCGTTCAAATTCATATATATATGTGTGTCCGTCAGCAAGATAACTCGAGCAAAAATGATCCGATTTTGATGAAATTTGGTACAAACGTGTAAACGTACGTTTATTCGAACGAGTTCACGATGCAGCATGATCGGACCATGGAGACGGGGGTTTACGGGGGGTTTTATGGGGTAAAAATAGGTTTTTCCCATTTTTGACCCAAAAAACATAAAATTTAGCAATTCCTTTCCAAACCATTTTGTAGTGCTTAAAAAACAAATAATTTAGTACACTGAAGCGTTGTTATGCGCCTAATGGTTAAAGAGAAAATTCAAAAAGATTGTAAATTTAAAATTCCCATGTTATTCTTATGGAGAATAAGTAAACTGTTGTAGTTTGCTTGTTTGTGAACATATTTTGATCAAATTTGGAAAATGTTTTTATTTTTTACTAACTATTCACATTTTACAAAAAAAAAAAAAAAAACAGTTTTACCCTCCCTGATGCAGCAAACCTAAGTACTTGTTAAACTAATTCTATTTAAATTAAGAATAAATGTTATATTTTTAAGTAGACATTTCAGTGTAAATCCAATCAGTCAAATGGATATTCGCTTAGTCTGCATGTTTGCTGCGGCGGGGGTATTTTTTATTTTAGGACGCTAGGCACGAACCCGGGATTGTTTTTCACATATTACTTCAGACTGAGGCTAAACCTAGGGGTTGAGACATTATCTCATAGATAAAATACATTAGTGATTTGGCGGGATTTGAACCCGGGACCTTACGAACCGAAGTCCCCAGCTCTTAACACTAGACCCGCCCGCCCCCCCTCTAGTACTTTGTACTGTAGAATTGAATTATTTCCAGGAATTTGTGACGGTATTCTTGTCGGTCTTATCTTATCTGGCTGGGAGATAAAACGGTTCGCTGTAGTGAATAATTTTGCCACCTTGGTAATTAATCACTGTTGACATTGTCGCAACGATAAGATAACGATAAATTTTAGTTCAGTTACTTAAATACGAAAAACAGAGTTGTGGATACGTAACGGATTTTGACCCTAAAATGAAATATGTAGAATTCAACTATTCGATAGTGTTTATGTTGGAAATGTGAAACATCAATTTCAAAAGTCACTACAAAATACAATTATAAAGTATTTTACAAATTACAATTACAAAATACAATTACAAAATTCAAATTACTAAATATTTACAATACTTATTTCTTGTGGAAAAGAGGCCTATTGTATTTGTAATAAAGTAATCCTTTAAACATATTTATTAACACTACAGTTTTTCCCCCCGTACTATTTATTTATACTTGCACGCTTTTAAAAGTATACTTTATCTTTACACTGTATGAATAATGTAAGCGATAAGATACTTTTGTATCCAAAATAATTTTTTAAATAAGAGTGCTTACTAGTGTTTCCTGGTGCAAAACTTAGTTGGGAATTTGAAACATACATTATTCCACGAGTTTATATTGACTTATTGTTTCTTAAAAGTACCTACATGAATTTCTAAAAAAGAAACACCTGAAACTTGTTTTATTAGAACTAGAGGGGTTTCCCTCGTGTACTTTACACTTTGCTGTATTGCCATGGCACAGCTCCTTGAGGTGAAGTGAAGTATCCTGCAAAGTAATCCCTCATGTTAATTGCACTTACGCTTCCACGAACTGCTGGTCCTGTTGAAATAGTTTGTAAAGGACACTCGTACAGGGTGTCCTGGAACTGGATTCCGTCTTTTTGTCTGACATAATTGTGAAGTACACAGCAGGACTTTATAATTGAATCACAAAACTCGAATCCTACGTCAATAGGCCGAAAGAAAATTCGCCATTTGCTTGCTAATATGCCAAAAGCACATTCTACCATTCGTCGTGCCCTAGTGTGTCTGTAATTAAATATCCTTTTCACGACGTTTAGATTCTTCTTAGGGAATGGCCTTAAAATTCTTGTTGAGAGACCAAAGGCTTCATCTCCTACAACTACGAAGGGCATTGGTTGACCGTCTATATCATTAGGCAATCCTTTACTGGGTGGAATGTTCGGTTCATCATTTTCTAGTTTTATTCCCATTGTAGACGTTTTGAAAATGCTGGGATCGGCTGCAGACCCATATGATCCAATGTCTACAAAAATAAACCTGTAATCTGCATCCACCCATGCCATTAGTACCACAGAAAAAAACTTCTTGTAATTGAAGCAAGAAGAGCCGGTATGTGCGGGGCATTTCACTCGGATATGTTTCCCGTCAATCGCACCAACTACATTGGGGAAATTTGTCCGATTGTAAAATTCATCAGCTATTTGTATCCACTCTTCTTCTGTTTTACCTCCCATGAATAGGGGCTGTAAAATGACCCATAAGCTGTCGCATGTACTTCGTACAATATTCCTCAAAGTTGACGGTGAAAGCAAGTACTCGAATGACAGGGAATTAAAGCTGTTTCCCGTGGCCAGGTACCTAGAAAAAATAAACAATATCAGCAAACTGAAACATACTTTCTCTCGTTTAGCGCAAAATAAATTAATGAAATTGCCTAAAATAGTTGTTTTCAGAAATATCTACCCAACACGGAAGTCTAAACAAAGTACTGTGTAGTTTTATATATACATAAGTAGAATGTCCCCCGATCTAGCAGGGGTAGTTTTGGTGTGTTGCGTGTTGCCTAGGGGTGGATTGAAGGGGTTGATTTAGGGGTGGTTTTTGCGTAAGGGGTGGTTTTAGGGGTGGTTTTTTGGATAAGGGTGGTTTTAGGGGTGGTTTTTTGGATTAGGGGTGGTTTTAGGGGTGGATTTAGAGTAGGGGGTGGTTTAAGGGGTGGATTTAGTGTTGGGGGTGGTTTAAGGGGTGGATTTAGTGTTGGGGGTGGGTGTTGGAGTTGGGGGGTGGGTTTTGGGTGGGGCTGTTGTTTTTGGAAGGGTTGAAGACTGTGTACTCTTATGTTAATATAAATTTAATAATATTTAATTACTTCTTTGGTGTTCCTCTATGATTTATGAATTATCTTTTATGGTATTGAAATTAACGGAAAAAAATATTTGAATCAGGTGTTTTCTGATTGGTTGAAAATAAGCTCGCTTCTGATTGGTTATAAATAAGTGACTGTGGTATTGAAATTAACGGAAAAAAATATGTGAATCAGGCGTTCTCTGATTGGTTGAAAATAAGCTCGTCCCAGATTGGTTATAAATCTCTACTTATAGGCTAGGGAATGGTAGGTTAATTGAATAGTCGAAATTTATCAATATATCTTTTATTTTACTATATCTATTTTGATAAACATAAAATTATAAATCTAAAAAAATGTAAAATTGTGATTAATGGAATATATGGTATGAGAAAAGATAATGAAATTTGATTTAAAGTTTACTCTATGTTTTAGTAATTGAACTCATCCGTCATAATAGAGTCTTTTTCTGCCCGTTACTGTCTTTCGACAGAACGGGCAAACGTATAATCGAATAGCGCATGCCGGACAAAGGGTATGGTGACAAGGCTGAATCACAATCGTCGGGAGAGCATCCTGACAGATCTGGCAGGTGATGGTCCGTTGAGGTTCGGTTGGGGTTTCTTGACCTCGAATGATGTTATCGTCCATCTGTTGTCCTGTCATCACGAGGATCCGCTCCAAGGACGTCCGGATCTCGTTCCAGATGACTGGAGCAACTTCTGCCATCTCTGCTCGGCTGGCCATTCCAATTGCGGAATCTGCCAATGTCAACACCTCCCTTAGTTCTGTCCTAGTGGTGTTGAGGTGGCCGATAGCTCTCCACGAAGCTCTGTCACCACTGTCGGCATCGATATCCTGAAAACAAATCAAGTTTTATTTTTCTGTTGATGTCTTTAGTTATGGTTGGGTAAGAGAAATAAAATTAGGCGATGAAAACCCACCCATAGAAAAAACTCCATTCTTTGACGTAGGATTCTTTCTTCCCGTTGGCAGCTCCGGCAGAGAGGATGGGGCTCTAGCAGTGCATGGGAAGAAGAGGTCTCTGGCGAAGGACTACGAGGTGAAGATGGTAGTACTTCGTCAGAGAGAAGCTCGTTCCCCTGTGCTTGTGACGGGTCGAAGTCATCCACGGGCTAAAAAATGTAAAATATATTAATATTCTAATATACATATATTATAGATGCTAAAGATTTATTCTAAACTTATATTATTCTTACCGTGGGATTTATCCTTCTGGATGGTCCAGCAACAGGTTCAGAAGGTACTGGTCGAAGGCCTGAAACGGCATCCATCAGGTGCTGATTGTGTTGTTCTTCGATCCGACTTAGAAGTCCGGGGGTCCCTCTAAATACATGGGAAATGTAGGACCCTTCGCCGGTCGAATTGTAATACAACCAGCGTGTTCCTTCAGGAATTCTGCCGTTATTCTGAAAAACAAAATGATGTAAATTATGCAATAAATATTTTACATGGTACTAAATCATACTACAGTACTATTTAATAGTGAACATTGATACTAGTCTTACCTCATGTGTGATGAGTATCCAAAATGGATCACGTGGCCTTCTGTAGTAATCTTCATAGGTGCTGCTGAATTCTATGGTTAAATGACTCCCACTCACAGATCTTAATATTTGAACAAAACGGTCTGCTGCCTCTGACTGTAAAAGGAAAAAAAA